AGCCGCCAAGATTATCTACAAACCAGATATTTATATTATGGTTTATAACAATAGCAAAATGAAGTATTGACGAAAGTAATTTTAAGTTGGAGGTCACCACAGTATGAAGAACTGTATTAAGGAGTCACAGCATTAGGAGAGCAGAGGGCCATGGCTCTAGAGAAGAGGGCAAGGAGAAGCTGCAGTGGTCTGTTAGTCAGCTTTTCACTCCATGACAGAATATTGACCAGGGAGCATTGAAAAGGGAGGTCTGTTCTGGCTTAGTTTCTGGGGGGTTCAGCTGTGATTGGTGAAGCAAGGCTAAACCACTATGGTGAGGTTTACATGGTGGAGGTACAGCAAAAAGAAGGATCTCTGTGTAGCTCTGGCTGTCCTGGAACTTACTCTGCAGACAAGGCTGGCCTCGAACTCAGAGATCCTCTGCCTCCTGAGTGCTGAGATTAAAGGTGTGCACTACCACTGCCTGGCAAAAGGAAGGCTCTTTAAAGGCAGGTCCCAGTAACCCATTTTCTCTCACAAGCTCCACCTCCTTGTAGCCCATTCAGAGATGAACTCACTAATGGATTCATCCACCGAGGAAGCTGGAGGAAGCTTGTGTCTGCTCAGTCAACCGTTAACAGCACCACCAGGGGGCGAAGCATGCCTCTGGGGGCTTCCTATGCAAACCATTATAGAAGGGGAGAGTGACCTCTGCTCCTAATGTCATTTCAAATGACAAGAAACCATATTTCAGCCTACATTAATACACACGTTAATATACATATAATATACAACATATACATTACTATGTAGCCCTGGCTGACCCTGCAACTCCGTGAGTAAATGGATTGGCTTTGAGTGCACAGAGATCCATCTTCCTCTGCCATCCAAGTGCTTGGATTAAAGGTGTGTGCTACCACACCTGGCATGAATCTATATTCTGAACTCAATGCATATTAGCTAACCTGTCAGTGGCAGCTCTTGCCTTGGCAGAGCGTCTTGTGGCTCATCAATTTCTGAGAAGACCAACTCTTTTTTTTTTATTTAAGGAAGTAGGGTTTCCATGCAGCAGCAAACCACAAGGTGGTGGTTACGCAGCAGTCAGATGACCTGTTAACTTTCTATTCTTAACTTTCTGTCTGGCCCAGTGCCTCTCTCTGGGGTAAAAATAAGTGGTGTTTGGTAATCCGGGGGCAGATGGATGGTACTTACTGAGAAAGAGCACCTAGACCCAGCTAATTTGCTCTAATCACCTGCACCGCAGATTAGCTAGTGGAGAAAGCCTCACTTGGAAGCAGCCACAGCCCCACACCACAGTATTTCGCCAGTCCCATGCAGGATTGGTGGCTAGAGTCTGCTTTTCAAGCCTCCAGTGCTATGGGTGCAAACTGGAAGTCTGTATCAGGGTCCCTGGAGGTTTGTTAAAAAGCAAGTTGCCTGTGTCATCCTTAGAGAATCTGGCTCCATGCTTTCACAGGTACGTGGGAGTTTTCATTTCTTTCTTTCCTGGATTCTCCAGCTTTGTCCATGGTGGGCAAGTGCCCTGTCACTGAGCTCTGGCTCTCTTGCTGCTCTTCATCTTGAGGGAGGTCACACTAGGTTGCCTAGGCTGGCCACAAACTGTGGCCGAGGATGACTTTGAACTTCTGATCCTGCTGTCTCTATCTCCCAAGTGCTGGGATTACAGGTGAGTGTCACTGCATGAAGCTTCTTCAAGTATTAGACCAATTAAATTTGAATATGACAATGTAAAACAGTGGATTATTTGTCATTTTATATTATTGTTGTTGTTATTTTTACAAGATCAGTTTCTCCGTGTAGTCCTGCCTGTTCAGGAATTTACTCTGTAGAAAAAGCTGGCCTCAATTTTAGAGTCCCACCTGCCTCTGCCTCCTGAAGGCTGGGATTAAAGGCATGCACCATCACCACTCAGTTTATCATTTTGTTTTTATTTGCTTATCTAATAATGGTTCTTTAGGTTTGCTTGGTCTGTTTTGTTTTGGTTTAGTTTTTTTCCTCGCTTTTTTTTTTCTTTCGAGACAGGGTTTCTCTGTGTAGTCCTGGCTGTCCTGGAACTCACTCTGTAGACCAGGCTGGCCTCGAACTCAGAAATCCACCTGCCTCTGCCTCCTAAGTGCTGGGATTAAAGGTATGCACCACCAACCACCTGGTTTATTTGTCATTTAAAAGACTTTTAAGGGCCAGGTATGGTGGCTTATGCTTACAGTCCCAGTGTAGGAGAGAATGCAAACATGACTGGTGACCAGCCAACCTAGCACACTAAGTAAGAAGCATGGCGCACCATATTCCTGGGTATTCCCAGCGATCAGAACACTGAAGTATCGTGAGTAGCTGTAGCTGGCCTGCTGACGAGTCTGCACTCTCACATCTTCTTTTATGTGTTTCTTCCACATAAGATCCTAGTGGTGTGAGTGCCCCCTGTCCACTCTGAGGTACCAACCAATCACAGTCCATAGGCTTCTACTATATAAGTTGTTGCTCGCCTGCAATAAAGGAGACACTGTTCCCTGAAACTGTTTCTGGAATAGGTGTTCTCTGCACCCTTTACTGACCCAGGGATATTGTAGTCCTACTGGGTGATGCCCCAGTCATTACTGTAACTCAAACATCACAGCAACTGGGAGGCAGAGGAAAGAGAATTGCCACAGTTTAAGACAAGTCTGATTTACAAAGAACGCAAACATGCACAACAGGGCTGGAGAGACAGCACAGTGTTTAAGAGGGCAGACTGCTCTCGCAGAGGACTTGAGTTTGGTGCCCAAATCGCAGCCACCTGGGTCCAGATCCTTTGGGACTCCATGGGTATCGAGAGAGATGTGCACGCAGATCTAATCACATACACATAATAAAATTATTTTGGGGCTGGAGTGATGGCTTAGTGGTTAAGAGCACTGACTGCTCTTCCAGAGGTCCTGAGTTCAATTTCCAGCAACCACATGGTGGCTCACAACCATCTGTAATGGGTTTTGATGCCCTATTCTGGTGTGTCTGAAGATAGCATCACTGTATTCACATACATATAGTAAATAAATCTTAAAAAAAGAATTATTATTTTATGTATATGGATGTTCTACCTGCATGTATGTCTGTTTGTGTGTGCCTAGTATCTGCAGAGGCCAGATCCCATGGAGCTGGATATGTATGTGTGTGTGTATGTATGTATGTATGTATGTGAGGCTCCATGTGCATGCTGGGAATTGAACCGAGGTCATCTGGAATAGCAACAGGTCCTCTTTTTTTTGTTTTTTTGTTTTTGTTTGAGACAGGGTGTCTCTGTGTAGTTCTGGCTGTCCTGGAACTCACTCTGTAGACCAGGCTGGCCTCAATCGAACTCAGAAATCCACCTGCCTCTGCCTCCCAAGTGCTGGGATTAAAGGCGTGTGCCACCACTGCCCGCACAACAGGTCCTCTTAGCTGCTGAGTCATCTCCTCAGTAAATAAAATGTAAAAAAAAAAAAAAAAAAAAAAAAAAAGTTTGTTTGTTCGTTTGTTTTAAGGATGCAATGCTTTTTAAAAAGGCATGAAAGTAGGGAAAGCATAGCTCATTGGTTCGCAACCTTCCTCATGCTGTGACCCTTTAGTGTAGTTCCTCATGTGAACTCACCCCTACCTCCCAGCTATAAAATTACTTCATTGCTACTCCATAACTGTAATTTTGCTACCCTCATTGAATCAAAATGTAAATGATGGAATGTGAGTTACAAAACCTGTGTTTTCCACTGGGCTTAGGTGAGTCCTGTGAATGGCTCTTTCATCCCCTGATGGGGGACGGGGTCTTGACTATAGACTGAGAACCACTGCACTGGTTAGAAAGCAGGAGATCAGAGGAAGGGGGAGGGGGCAAAAGAAAGTGAGGGGTTAGCTGGTGTGCCTGTCGTGATGGTGCATGTCTTGAAGTGGAGGCAGGAGGATCTCTATGAGTTCAAGGACAGTCTGATCTGAGTTCCTGAGTGTCTTGGAATAAGTTCCAGAACAACTGGTTATGTGGAGAGACCTTGTCTCAAAAAAACAAAAGTGAGGGGTAGGCAATATGGTTGAAGTACATTCTGTACATGTATGAAAATGTCGTAACAAATGAATATCAAGGTGGAAGTGTTACTCCACCATGCAAGGCCCAGGTCCTATCTCAGCATTATTGAAATGCATTATGTATAATTGATATATGATAATTTTTTTCAAAAAAACAAAAAGGAAGAATATATGTTTTGATGGAGTTTACCCTAATTCATTATTTTCCTGAGTTGTTTCTAAGCCAACATATCATAGTTTTTTTTTTTTAATTTTTCTCCTTATAATAGAAATCATTTGTTTTGTAAAAATTAAGAAAATGGACCAAGGACCCCTCCCAATTAAATAAATAAATAAAATGAAATAAATAAAATGAAATCAAGACAAAAAAAAAAGCAAAACAAAACAAAAAAAACCCTGGGGAAGCTGGGCATGGGGTGCACACCTACAGTTCTGGTATTTGGAAGGCTTAGACAGGAAGATGTCCAGTTTGAGGGCAGCTTGGACTACACAATAAGAACTTGTGCCAAAACAACAGAATAGTCAGATAGAGTGGCCCAGGCCTGTCATCCCAGGACTTAGAATTGGAGGAAGAGAAGGGTGAAGAACTCAAGACAGTCTCAGTTAGTCAGTGAACTCAAGACCAACTGGACTACAGGAGACTTTGTTTTAAAACACCAAGAACAACCAAGCAACCAATACACAAAACAACTGTTATCACTAAAACGAAAACCAAACCAAACAAACAACCTTGGGAAGCCCATTCCAGGGCTGGAGAGATGGTACAGCAGCCATGAACACTTGCTGCTTTCTTTAAGGGCCAGAGTTCAGTTCCCAGGACTCAGGTCAGGAGATTTGAAGCTGCCAGAATTCCAGTTCTAGGGATCCAACACCTTTTGGTCTATGAGGGCACTGACACACAGATGTACAGGGGCTTGCACACACATAAATAAATCATAAATCTTTTTTAAATGCATTCCAGAAGACATCAGTTTCACAGAATTTTCTTTCATATTTTATCACTTGTAATCATTGCCTTTATACATTTATTTACATAATGTGTCTGCATTTCTAAGAAAGACATTTGAAATATGCTAGAGGCAAGTACTAAGTTGCTTGCAGGGAAGTGGATGGGGGCATTTGTTATCTCCTTAGGCAACATCTCCCAAGTGCTGGTGTTTTGTTTAGAGCTAATCTTGTTTCTCCTGTTTCCCTGGTGCTTGCTATGTGGCCCAGGCTGATCTTGAACACCAGGCATTCACCATCCCTCTGCTGAGTACTAGGATTGGGAATTTATGCTTATGTCTATGCTCTAAAGATGTGCTCGCCTGAGGCTGCTCAGGATGTTACTGGAGGAGTGGCTGCGGAAGACTCAAATACTCAACAGCTTAGTAGGCCTCAAACACTACTGCATGTCAGTGTTTACATAAAAGATTGAAAGAGAAGCCATGAAAGGCTAACATTGGGACCACTCAGACAGGTAGAGGGTGCAGGCCTATAATCTCAGCTTTAGGATGCTAAGTTGGGAGATGTTAATTTTGTGAGGCCAGGCTAGGCGAAATTCTAAGAGCTGTCCAAAGTCAAAAGTAAGAATAAAAAAACCACTGAGTTCCCTTTTAGTGAGAAATGATGTGGAGGAGAGAATTGCTCAGCCTGTTTGTGGTCTATGAAAACCAGAAAGACTCCGGTGGGTAGGGAACCAGTGGGAGTGGAACATCAGTCTCTTCCAATCTCTGGGCAGGATAGAGATTCTGACCAGGAAGCTTAGAAAGAAAAGAAAAGGAAAAAAAAATGTTAAAAGAGCAAAAGGCAAGTTACACTAGAAAAACCAATTAGGAAACAAAGGCTCAGCCTTAGAGTGCCTGCTGAGCTTGTAGCACCCAGGGGTCAGTCCCTAGCCCTACATAAACCACATGTGGTGGTGCTTTTCTGTAATGCCAGCACTCCTGAGGTGGAGGTAGGAGGATCAGAAACTTGAGGCTATCCTCGGGATACATGAGACCATCTTAAGTTTTTGGTTTTTTAAAATATTATTTATACAAATACACTGTAGCTGTCTTCACACACACCAGAAAAGTGCATCAGATCCCATTACAGATGGTTGTGAGCCACCATGTGGTTGCTGGGAATTGAACTCAGGACCTCTGGAAGAACAGTTAGTGCTCTTAACCATTGAGCCAGCCCTGTCTGTCTTTTTTTTTTTTTTTTTAATGATTAGGGGATGGGGTAGGGGAAAGGCTAGAGACATGATTCAGTAGTCAGTGGTTAAGAGCACGTGTTTCACAAGCATATAGACCAGAGTTTGGATCACCTCACCCATCTAACAAATTGCATAAAACCCTAGGTTTATAACCAGAAAGTAGATGTGTTTCTTTATATCCTAAGCAGTAGAGCCTGCTGAAGGAACAAGTTTCTGATACTGATGACAAGATTTAGAGTCACCATGGTAACATACCACTGTGCATCTGTGTCTGAGTGTGTGTGTGTGTGTGTGTGTGTGTGTGTGTGAGAGAGAGAGAGAGAGAGAGAGAGAGAGAGAGAGAGAGAGAGAGAGA